AATCAGCTCACGCATTTGTTCACTAAGTGGTGACCCTCGCCCCATCCTTGTTTGTGAATGACTGAGCATTTCAGGGAAGCTGCTTTTATACCCAATCATGGCACCCACCTGTTCCCAATTAGCCCGTTCACCTGTGGGATGTTCCAAATAAGTGTTTGATGAGCATTCCTCAACTTTCTCAGTCTTTTTTGCCACTTGTGCCAGCTTTTTTGAAACATGTTGCAGGCATCAAATTCCAAATGAGCTAATATTTGCAAAAAATTACAAAGTTTACCTGTTCGAACATTAAGTAACTTGTCTTTGCAGTGTATTCAATTGAATATAGGTTGAAAAGGATTTGCAAATCATTGTATTCTGTTTTTATTTACGGTTTACACAACGTGCCAACTTCACTGGTTTTGGGTTTTGTATTAAGCTGAACTATATAAGTAAATCAGATATTACTGTACCCCAGTGATAAACCCCAAACTATCGGCTAGGCCACAATATGTTGTTATAATTTGGGTGAACTGACCCTTTAACCTAAAATAATAAAAGACTGTACACCACTGAATTAATGATGAATAAATGTGATTCTACTTCACCTTGAGATCAGGCAGATCAGGGAACAGCGGATGAGCCCCTTCATTCAGTGCTTTGGCCACAGCACTCAGCGTACGAGGTAGGTCGTTTCCAAACGAACGAAATATGATGGCAAACTCTCTTCCTTCCTGTGCCAGGTCTTTGAGCAGCTGGAAGAAGGAGGGGAGGATCCAGTGGTACAGTTTTCCACCCTCTCCTTTTACAGACAGCTCTCTGTCTCCCTGTAGGGAACACAGTCAGGGAGCAGTCAGTAATGTTATATAGGCTGCAAAAAAACACATTGGTCAGGAAATAATTTTTATTATCATACAGTAACTTTAACGTCTATAGGCAGAGCCACAAGACTGATTCACAAGCATGACCTGACACCATGGGATCTGAGCTGCGTGACTGAACAGGTCTGAACAGGTCTGAACGACTGTAAAAAAAAAAAAAAAGCTAAAAAGTATTCCATGTTAAATTTTGTGAAAGAAAAATACCTGCTACAAGCTAGGTGTCTAAAAGCTACACCTTAAACTCCACAAGTATACTGCAGAAGTTAAAATATACATGATGATTTAAGATTTAAGCTGTCAAAATGTGATGCAGTTCAGAGAATTATTGACTTCTGATGGAGGCTGTTAGAAACTCGATAAACTAAACACAGCTACATAATGTATGGCTGTTTGCTGAGCATGTATGCCTCTGATGTATATGCGTCACCACTATGGATTGTGTGGGTTTAGCAGATACTATATGACTGGTTTAACTTGTCTCAAAGGAAAAAAAAGTGCCTTCTTAAAGAACTGGTATACGTCTGTTAAAGTAATTTATGTTGCATCTTATTCCAGCCAGATGCCACTGTTTCATCATTTGTACTGCACTGTCTGTATGTATGCCATGTAATAAAGGTCTTTCTTCTTGAGTCAATAAAAGATTTGAATCCAAAAATTAATCGTGATTAGAAAGAGAGTGATAGCTTGCAAAACTTGAGATTTTTGTGACTGCTTGTCTAACTTTATACAGACACTTTACACCTGGCCTCCTTATCCGTTCATGCTTGCCTTGGTACCCTTGGGCCAACGGAGCAGATCCAGATGCTCATCCAGAATCCCACGGAAACGTCGCCCTGCACCTGAGGTGAAACCTGGTGTCCGTCCAAAATAAGAGTGGTAAGTAACAGCGTCAGCGCACGGTGGGAGCAGGGAGGCCGAGTCACTCAGCCATTCCCACTTTCCTGTGTAGAGGTGAGGAGAGCAAGGTTTTGTGAATGGTTACAAATGCAGACACATAAAGATCAAAGAGTAAGTGCAGGAGGCTAGTGCGGCATCTTGGCAAGACCTGAGGCAAGAACCAAGGGTGCTCTGAAGCTCTTGTTGGAATTTAATACATCTTGCTATAAAATAAAAATGAAGTAGTAGCAAGGATATGTACAGGTAGTCAATGACATTCATAATCCAATATCTATATAGTCTCTGAACACTTTTGGGCAGCTGTACACAAGCCAATTTTCACAACTCTAAGTAGGTATTATCACTTCAATTAATTAGGAACTATACACATAGGGATTTTGGGAGAATTTGTTTTTTGAATATACTCCAACAAACAGATCAACTCCTATGAATGGCTAGTCTACGGTGGCAAATTTTCCTATAGGGAACATAGGCAGCTGCCTAGGGTGCCAAAAAATATTCTTATTACATTAGATATTTTTCTTTATTCCTTTCTACATTCATAAAAATTTAACTCAAGGGAAATGGTGGATTGAAGTGGAGGGGTAGAGCACTTGAGTGCTGAGAAAATGAAAAGGCAAAAATTAAATAACATTACTGTATTGCTCAGGGCTGGAGTGGGACTCATTTTCAGCCCTGGAGTTTCATGCCTCAGACCGGCCCACTTTAGATCACAACCTATTATAACCTTACATGTTAAGTCTACAATAGCGCACTGTTCTCTAAAGCCTTGTAATTCAGTGTATTTTTTTTTTTAAATATTTCCAATTCAGTGCAAGTAAGGGTTGCTTCACAATGTAGATTTATTTCAACATGAGTGCACAGCTCCGACATTATTCTTTACAACACAACATCCTTTTCAACAATATCAGAATCTATATTCTGATCAATTAGCCTATGTGTTCACAGATATACAAAAATGAAATAAAAGAATAAATAAAAATACTAAATATTAAATTTGAGAAAATAAAAAATAAAATAAAAAGTGTTGCACTCTCTAATAACACTATCTTTCAGGGTTTTCCCTGGGTTTTTTCGAGACCAAGGTGGAAAGGCCTGTGGTGGGGGGCGTCTTGACAGCTGTACTTTTAGATACGGTCCCCCCCCTCTACTAAATATGAAAGGAGGCCCCCACATGCTTGAGCTTTACGCTGCTGATTTGTATAATCAGAACAGACATGTCCTGTGATTTTCAGCCTTCTATGATTATATTTACCCTTTACAGCAGGCACATCCTGACAGCTGAGAATATTACTGTCAGGTATTGTCCCCCCTCTAGTAAATATGAAAGGAGGCTGAAAATCACAGGACATGTCTGTTCTGATGATGCAAGTCAGCGGTCCTGAAATATGTGTTTCTCTTCTATAATACACATTCTACATCTCGGAGGCGACGTCTTTCCACATACAGGCTTCCGTTGCCTTTCAAACGGGGCAGAGCGCGGTGGGAAACAGTAGGAGAGTCACAGCCTGAGGGGGAACCAGGTTCTGACACAACACTGGAGGGAGAAGCAGGTCCGTGGAGCTGTGCGACAGACGAAAAAACAAGCGCGTCGCACCGAATGCACGCCGCTACGGTATCCCTTCGGGTTGTGAGTGCGCATGCGCGTCTACATTGAAAGTAATGGGTTCGTGCACGCAAAAGACGCTACCTCTGCACGGCCCGCATGCACACACACGTCAGGGTGCGTCTGCAAAAAAAAAACAAAAAAAAAAAAAACCCAGTGCCATGACTGAACACCAGCCCAATGAAAAAAAAATAACTTGGGGCGTCGGTAGCATAGTGGATAGTGCCGGCGCCCCATGTACAGAGGCGCTCACGGCCCTTTGCTGCATGTCAGTCCCCACTCTCTCTCTGTCTCCCCATTTCACCTTCTGTCCTGTCAATAAAGGCAAAAAAGCCAATAAAAATAATCTTTAAAAGGAGAAAAAAAAAAAAAACACCAGTCCTCGTGGCCCAAACATCAGACCGGCCCACCGGGAATTGTCCTGGTCCTCCCGATTAGCCACTTAGTTTTTTATCTGTATTGTTTTCTCATTGGCTTGTGTTATTCTTAGTAATAAATACAATGTATAGAAAAGATAAAAAATAATAGGCTAGATGAAGATAACAGATAGTTTGGAGTGGTGGGGGGCGCCAGGAAAAACTTGCCTAAGGCACCAAATCTGCTAGGTCTGGCACTGCTAGTATTGATGTATTCTACCAAACTTCACTTCCTTAATTTAATTTTCACTTCCACATAAGCATAACAAACACGCCATAAAATACGACGTTAGACCTGTTTGAATTTATATTACTGATGACCTGCCATTCGGCATATGTGTGATTCCAATGACGCTTTTCATTTCAATAACCTCAGTTACATTTTTGTCGTTCCTTAGCTGTGTGTTCAGGATAGGTGAAAAGAGGAGGAGGGCTTTTTTTGCCATATTCTTTAATGGAATTCGGCACCACAGGTACAATAACTTCGCTGACTGAGCAAACAGAAATTCCTCGCATCCTTGTGTGATGCGTAAAAGTACAATGAAGCCACTTTCTCGTTTACCGTGTTTGCTCATCTTCCCCCAGGTGACAGTAGAGAGGAAATACTCCAGGGCAGCTTCTGTCCCCAGAGCCATCACGGTGTCCGACACCAGTATGGTGTTGTTGAGGTCGACATGCAGGACTAACTTTTTGCTCGGGTGATGATTTGAGGACCACAGCTCCCGAGGGACTGTCACGGCGGGGTCACCTGTCCCCCACACAGGCTCGGGGACATTCCTGCTGTTTGTCCCGTCATGTTCTTCAGCTTCTCGGCAGCTGTTCTCACCGAGCTCCGCCATGAGTGTGACACCGACGACAAATATTAGTTTGAAATATCTCAACTGAAACTTGCTACGCGACCGGCTCAGCTGTCTGACTTTACCGGTACTTCCCTGTTCTCCATGCTAGCTCCTTCTTCTTCTTCTTCGGCTCAATAGTTGTATACTACCGGACAGAGGAAAGGGCGCCATCTTGTGGAGCTGTAAAACACTCACTCAGATTATTAATCTAAAATCAGACAACCCCTACGTGTTTTTTGTAGAATTTGGATAGTAAGCACGGTTTCTCCTTTGTGACATTTTAATGAGACATAGAATGAACGTGATTTTGATGAAATGTCACAATTTTAAGATTAGATATGATTACATGGAAGCCCACACGGTGTGTTCAAGAACCGTTGGAAATGTGACCACGTGACAATTTCTGTTTTGACAGTTTCTGGCTGTGATAAATGGTGTAATTTTTGCGATTTCTTAAAGATAACATGCCAGGGTATTTAAAATAAATATAAAATACAACACTTTAAAGTAGATTGTCCCTCCCCTGAGCCAAAAAAAAAAAACCGAACTCCCATTCCAGTGCTGAAAAATGATTTTAAATGCTACCCCCATTTTGTACCACCTCTTCTCCTCTCATAGATACGGAGCAGTCCCTTATGCCATATAATCACGCAGGAGTTTTAAGTTCTGGTGCACTATACCTCAGGTTGAAAGGTCACCAAACTCCATCTGCAAAGTTACTTGTAACTAGAGCTGTTGAATAGATTTTGAGGAATAAGAAATGTGGAGGAATCAAAATATAACGTAGCAGACGACAGAAATACTTAAGTAGTTCAAAACTGTCTGTAGACCTACACACTACAATAAGTTTATATAAATTTACACCACATGGTGAAAATACTTCATTATATAAGTAAATGTCCTAGCTGCACTCAGATGTCACTGCACAGAAATGTAACCATAAAAGCACTCATTACACAGATTGCTCCTTTTTGTATTATTATATACATTATGTTGGAGTATTATTATTGATGCACTAAGCAGCATTTTGATGTTGTAGTTGGTCCAAAATATAACAACTCAATATGTTGCTTCGTAGTTAAATCCAAGACAAAGCATCATAGTTTCCTAACTGATCACATATTTTGTAATTAAAAATCTGGAGAGGGAAGAGCTGATTTTCACTCTCTGAGCAGCCATAAATGAAAAAAATTGGCAGATACACCCAACCCTCCACCACCCCCACCTCCACGTCCTCCTCCTGTCCTTGCTGGGCTGGCACTCAACACCCAGCCTCAGCCAAGAAAAGACAGGGTGGTGGACATGATGAGCAGCAGCAAAGTCCATGAGACAGTTAAAAAAATAAAGTGCTTCATAACGGACCACATGGCGGTGCTATTTCATCAAAAAATCACTTGTTCTTCAGAGGAGGTTAAAAATCTGTCCTTGAACGCAGGGCCGTCGCAACCGGACAGGCAAACTAGGCAATTGCCTAGGGCCCCCAAGCTGGAAGGGGGCCCCCAGAGATGGCTGACATTGGTCCATATCAATGACAATATGGTGGAACCCCTATAGACACTGCAACAACAACAACACGCTGGAATCCCCCTCTACTAGCTGCTGCTTGCCAGTGGCTAAGTAGGGTGACCAAGAAGTCCTGCATTGTGCGGGACTGCACAGCATTTGTCTCTTTTCATGTGTCACGCAAATTGAGACCATGTCCTGCATGATTGGTTGCCACCTGCGCTAGCATTGTTGGAGTACCGTAGTACTACGGTACTTCACGGTACCACTACTGTGGGATAAGTTCAAAGTCCAATTGCAAGAGGGTGAGTGACCATGCACCGGCCAATAATGGCGCGCGCTGGCCACCTGGCACTCAATATGCTGCTGCAGTGGTTTGTTTTCCAGTGACATGTCAGGTATTAGCTGAGCTACTGAGTATCTTTACGTAATGAAAGTTATTATTTATTTCTTTTTACTTGTAGGTTAGATTTGTTTATGCTCCAGTGATTTGTTTTCCACAGAGCTCTACGGTGCGAGCATTTCACTTGCATTTTCGACTTAAAATAGTTTTGCGCAAGCAAAACAAATTATCCAGGAGCATGCTGTGCGAGTACAGATTTCAACCAGCAGCAGAAACGAAAGGTGAATCCTGCCGGTTGTGGGCTGAACGGGGCTCACAGACGGAGAAGTCTGGCTCCAGGTCCAGTAATTTCCTCTTTGTTGATTTCATGACTGCCCAGAAATACCTGAACAGCCGAGCCGTGGCGGCATGGGCGGCACACGTGATGTGTCAGAGGAGAAACGTGGTGCCTTGCCTGGGGCCCCCAGAGTGTCTTGAAACAGCCCTGCTTGAACGATTTGGGTCTTTTGAGAATGTTTGAGGCCTCCTCTGTTGCTTTGACCATGAAAAAACATAAAAACCGCTACTCTTGATCCTGTATTTTTTAATGAACCCACAGCAAACTACTTTAACCAGCATGAGATGTGCTTAGTATTTTACCAGGATGCCCTTGATTTGTGTTTATTTATTTTGATTTTATTTTGATTTTATTTGATTTTATTTTGATTTTATTTGATTTTATGATTTTGTTTTTATTTTATTTTATTTTATTTTATTTTATTTTATTTTATTTTATGTGAGGAAGTCTTTGTTTCACATCGGAAGTTTTACAGACGGACGTTGAGACTGCGTTGAGACTTCCGGTGTGCATAATACCGCAGCGCAGACTTCAGGTTTGTCCAACCATTCCACCTGCTCGCTTTCTCATTTCATTGTTTTCTGTACTAAGGCTTTTAAGCGCAGCTGCGGACACAGCCATCGGTTCTCCATGTTGTAGCTCTACCAGCTGTACCAACTATTCCTTTTTAAATCATGTAGTTAGCTACAGAAGTTGTTTAGCAACAGTCGACCATGCTAGTTTTAGCTAGCTAACGTTAGCGAGCTAATGTATTAGCACCAACCGCTGGACTCACAACTCTCAGCTGGTTGTAAGTTTAGAATTAATGAACTCATCAACCACTGCGTTTTGTTTGCTGGTACCATAAAATCTAGCCACTGGTTTATTCGGAAACAATTAACGTCAACTGGCCTGTTAATGTTTGCTAACCGCTAACGGTCATAACGTTACCGATGCGTCGTATCGATAATTGGATGCCACAAGTAAGACCATACTAAAAACATAGGTATACGACCTCAGTCCATTCATTTATTATTCGTATGCGTTGATGTATTTGTGGTTAATTTGACTGTGTTTGCAGTAGTAGTGTTTAAAACTGGAATGTGTTTCAGGGTGACAGCCCTGGGAATAACAGGCCTGTGATGAGTTAATTAAGCTTTGTATCAAAAATCATTACTGCCTGCTGCACTGGTATATGCAGAACGGGTCGCGAATGTGATTTTGTAGTTGAAGATGTTATGTCACTCTGTGGTTGTTAAATAATTGCTGATTTACAGCAAGGCCTCAAAATTCTATATTTTGAACGGCAATTCTGCGAAGTTTTAATTTCCCCTGGACCAAGGAAGTAAACTTGAGGTGTTAAAGCAGACTGTAACAATGAGGAAAAGTATACGCTTCTACTAGTATAATTTACAAGTGGTCTTATTTTGACAGCTTACATAAACAGCTTACTTAAAAGAAAAATGCAAGATAACTTGAAGAAACAGTGACCAACAGGTGGCAGGCTCTTTTCTGTTACAGATCTCTTATAACTGTATAAGTCTAACTCTTTATGATTCAAATGAATTTAATTCTGAATTGAAATGACATGTAACAAACACTTGTGCGTATGTGGTTGTGTGATGTGGAGCAGGCGGTGGAGAGTGGACGCTGATGGGGGACGAAAAGGAATCCTGGAAAGTAAAAACTCTTGACGAAATCCTACAGGAGAAGAAACGCAGAAGAGAATTAGAAGAGAGAACAGATCCCAAGCGCCAGAAAAATGTAAAGTATCTCAAAGCTAATGTAAGACACATATGACCTTTACTTGTTTATGCAGTGTTGAAAGCAATCAAGAGTCACCCTTATCCTAGCTATCAGTTTTATTTGATTTCATTGTTGTTGTTTTTTCTTGTTAATTTTTTTTTTTTTTATCAAAAACCACCAAGGTAACTTTGAAAATAGATAATTATAATGGCAAATTGAAGAAAAATTAAAGACTTGAAAACAAAGATTTTACTCTTGATAGTCTTGTAAGCCTAGTATCTATAAATATTCTTGTTGCGTTTGTTATATTCATTATTATTCTGTCCTTTTATACAAGAGTTTTAATTAACCATTCTCTAAATGCTGCTTAAAAAGCCTTTGGAGCAAGATATACACAGAGAAACTGTTGTGGTGTTTCCTTTACTTTAACCACATAGTCTGCTCTTCTTGTCTTGCACAGTTCACACAGGGCCTTGTTCCACAGTCGGATGATCGGGAAGCCAAACGAGATACTCCGGAGGAAGGAGAACTACGGGATCAAAGGATGGAAATAACAATTCGTAATTCCCCGTACACACGGGAGGACTCAACAGAGGACAGGTACTTGCAGTTGCAGGAAAAAAAATATGAGTGCATTTCACAGTTGACATAGTATGAATCTAGTGGTGGAACTTCAAAGTATGTACATATGTCATGGTCTTCAAAATGATATGCCACGTAGTGTTGCTGGCAGTTTAGAGTCTCAATGTTTTCTTTACATTTCTGCAGGGGTGAAGAAGATGAATCATTAGCAATCAAGCCTCCACAGCAAATAGCAAGGAAAGACAAGTCTCACCACAGAAAGGAAGAAAAAAGAAAAGATAAAAGACGTCATCGCAGTCACTCTGCTGAAGGAGGTGTGGGAGTAAAACACATAAACACAAACATGTTTTATAGCTGAATACAACATGTTTGGAACTATTTTGTAGAACCTGCTTTCATTAATGGTTTTTTTCGTCTACAGCAGGGAAACATGTACGACCCAAAGACAAAGAAAAGGAGCGAGAGAATGATCGCAGGAAGCGGCAGTGGGAGGAAGACAAAGCCCGACGAGACTGGGAGAGGCAGAAACGAAGGGTAGAGGCCAGAGCTCATTCACGCAGAGAGAGGTGAGCATCAACCCTGGAAAGGCACTGTATGTTAGATTATCTTTGAT